AAAATCATGACAATAAAATATCACACAAAATTATGACGTTATAATATCATAACTTTTTTTGACACCCTGGTATCATAAAGATATATGATACATAAGTATCATAAGTATATATATATAAACATCAAAACATACTAAATGTTTTATTAGCAATAAATAATCAATACATCAAACAAATATTTTCATTAAATTTAAATCACCATTCCTTACAATTGTAAATGTACATAATTCACAATGGTAAACCCTAAAACTAAATAAGTAAAAAGGAGAAGTCCAACGACGGCCAGAATAATTAAAAGAAAGTGCTAATACACAAATACTACAAGGCGGACAAAAGCCAAAAATACGTTGCATTCATCTCCTTAACTCTAATTCTTGTTCCCCGACCTGCATATAAGAAAACTAGAGCTCAATAGTCACAAATCTTCAATAGCTTGATCATAATATATCTCTCTATACCCATGATGTGAACTGAAACACCTCCTAACTTTAGATGGTATACTCATCTCACTAATATTAATTGTCCACCCGCTCCTGAAAATTTGCATTTATGAAGGTTAAATAAACTTATGAAAGTATGCATTCCTTAAGAACCAAGTAAGTAGTTTGAATCAGTTCTATGATTTTCTGCTCAGAGTGTTCGCTTATGTCACAAAACCCCTATTTCACACTAATTTCAAACTACAGCCCATAGCCCCATACCACCTAAAGTAGGGATAAATGGTTAAGGGGACATGTATCGAAAAGAAGAAGAAAACATATCTTAATCTGGGCACATTTTTAAAAAAGTGCCACCTTAAGAAAACATATCTTACGCTGGGAACTATCATCAACAATTTCAATTTTTTGCAAAATATGTCACCAATTCCTGAGAAATGTGACTAAATAAAGAGAAAAAAATAAGTGTGACCGAACCTAGTTATGGCTCTTTATTTGACGGAGAATCCAAGTGCCACCACTGTCCAATACATGTCAAGGTTCCATCTTCTTCTGTACAATAAAAGGAAGATGATATCTAACTGAAACGATTTACAAGTGTAATGGAAAGTAAGCAGGTTGCGTTCAAGCTTGACTTTAAATCACGAAAATGGAACACTACATTGGCATACAATGTTATATATATATATATATACATATAAATATATGTATAGAAGAGTATTTACCATTGATATATCAGGAAACCAGAGAGAACCTCAGTCAGTGTGTAATTCCTCACTGGAAGTGGAGAATGTATGTTACAATGTATGTATGAATTTTGTTAGGGTGAATTAAGAGTGTAAGATTAAGTGCAAAGCAGTGTGCAGTGTTGCAGTGCTGCAGTTCCATTTTTAAAATCTTACTCCTGATTTAGGAAAACTCAAAGATGACCAATAGCCAGAGCACCTCCATTTACATTGATCTTCTCTAGATCAAGTCTTAGCTGTATTTGACAGTATACACATTGTGATGCAAATGTTACAAAGAGGAACAAAATAATCACTTTAAATTGCAAAAGCAATCACTGTGAATGAAATGGGAAGGCAATAATGTCTATTAACTCACCTAATTGATCTAAAAAAGATCAACATCATCAAGTTGGAGGCCAGCAGATATGACTGCAGCTGGAATTACAACACCAATACTAATGGCCATGATAGTAGGATCTACACCGACAACAGCAAAAGTCTTACAACAAGAGAGGTCGCACATCCATTACTTGAAATGAATGGATATTTTATTTGGAAGTTCTAATATAGGATTTAACATGTATATGCAGACATACTTAAACATAAATATAACTTTAGATAGTTAAAAACTGGAATAAATTTGGTTCCAAATTTCAGACTTAATAATTAGATATACACTCTTGGAAGCAGTTGGAAGAATTAAACCTGAATACACCAAGGACCGGAAATCCTATCTTCATAGCAAGAATTCTTTTTAGCACTACAATGCAGTCCCATCACTAACTTGGCCAGAGTTTCTAATAATTTCAAGGGGAAAAAATCAAGATAATCCAAAAAGTTGATGAAAATTAAATGGGAATAATAATTCAAGTTTCAAATGGATACGATAACTCTATTGAGAAGAATTTAACCTCACTACCCATGTCTTTGAAATCTCTTTGGGCATCATCATCAATTAACCTCACGTTATCAATATGAATGTAATCATTACCATCTTCACAGGGTTCAAGAACATTCTTCACAAATTGAAATGAAGTAAAGTAATACTCCGTACTATGTATAACAAAGTTAACAATTTTATTTTTTAAGTGGTTAGAAATAGTCTTCCATCATTTGCAATGGAGCCAAAGATTCATTATTTTTTGACTTGAGAATATGATGGAATAAAGCAAAATGGCTCACTAAACTGTCTGCGCTTCTTTGTTATGAAGTAGCAGTCAGTCCATGCAATTTTGGACGCGTTTTTCACTATGGGTCATCCGGAAACAGTCTCTCTGTGCTTTAATATAGGGGTAAGACTGCGTACATCCGACCCCCCCCCCCTTACCCCACCGTAGGTGGGAGCCTTTGCGGCACTGGGGTAAATGAAAATGATAAAAAACGAAGTGGTTAGAAATAGTATACCTTAACTAAAATCATCCTGTAAAAAGAGATTAAGTATCAGTTTAATCTCAGCCCATCTATGTCTTCACATAAACACTCTCTTGAATTCCAAATAACCTATAATCTTTGCAAAAGCTCTAACAATATAATCTATCGCAATCTTATTCAATTCATGCAAAATATAAAGGAAGCTAAATAGCTTAAATAAATCTGCTGCTACACCGGAGGTAATATAAGCAATGTCCCTCTATCTCTGCCTTTTAGTGGTGTGATTCTTATGTAAAAACTTGCATACATCACTTTTGCTTTTTTATTCATGTCTTATGATTAAACTGTGCAGGGAATGGGTTGGAGATGTGTCAAGTTTTATAAAGTCAGAAGACTTGCTCTGGTGGACATTGAAGGAATTTATTGTCCAGAAAGTTTCAAGGAAATCCTAATTTTGTGTCTGGTACTAATATTGGAACGGACTTCATCTGCAATAAGAAGCTGTCAACTGTGTAAAACAAAACTGAAACTCACATGTGCAATGACAAAGATGTCACAGTGCAAAAAGTTGAATTAAGCAAGTAGAATAGGCAAATGGAAAATTTCAGATTCCAATTAGTCATTTATTTACTTCAATACAGAGTACAACATCAAAATGAGAAGAAAGGAAGTAAATTATGCATAGAGAAATACCAGGAATTTTAAGAAATAAAAATGTGAGATTTTGAACAAACACGTGAAATAAAATAAAATAAAATAAAATAAGTGAGACTAACTATGACAAATTCACCATCCAAATTGCAGCCCTGTTCAATACTCCTCAAAGTAAATGTATAAATAAGTGAGACGAATTATGACAAAATCACCATCCAAATTGCAGCCCTTTTCAATACTCCTCAAAGTAAATGTATACCAATAAAATAAAATAAAATTGAATCAATTACCTCGATGAAGTTGACTATGGGAATTTAGTTGAAACCTAAATTAAGACTGCCCATCGTCCCTTTTTGCAACACCGAACCTAGCAACCAACGATTGTACTTCTACATCTTCAAATTGAGAAGAGGAAGGGAAAAGACAATTTGCCTTGTCTATTTCATAATATCCGAAGAAAAATCGAACTTGTTTGGCAGAAATCACCACTTGAATCTCAAATCCAAGCTCGAAAATGGAACCAGGAGAAAATTTCGACCAAGCAACACCAAGAAAACCGAAGCAGATGCCACCCAGCCGAAGATCGACGAAGCCAATTCGTTTCACGCGTAAGTCAACACCGTTCCAGAGCTCTGCCTTCTCTCATCTTTTTCAGGCGTCTTCACAGGCGTCCAGAGATGGTCTCTTCTAAAGGATGCCGTGTCATCAGTTTCTTAGTAGCAGAATGGGAGCGATGAGAATCGCTCATGAAATGAAGACTCTGGCTAGGGTTGTGTGAATGAAGAGAGAAAAGTGATGTTAAAGTTGATTAAGAGAAGAAATTTTAGGTGTTAAAATATGACAAAATAATGTTAAAAAAATGTTAAAAGAAAATAAAATAGGGTGTGAATGTCACTACGTGATATTGATACTATTGTGTCAGAAACTAATGACACATATACATCGTAAAAAAAATATGTCGTATTTTAGTGACACTATATTAAAAAGTGTCACTAACAAAGTGTCACTATAAGCTTATTTTCTACTAGTGTGATGGAAACATATGAGGATGAATAAATTAACCTCTTTTTTTACAAATCATATTTTTGTTTCATCACGGAAATTTCATAAGTTTAAAAGTAACCCAAATAAATTCGTGTTGGTTCAATATATTTTTTCTTATATAATACTCAAGATGATTATAATGGTGAGATTTTGTATAAATAATGCTCCTAGGATTTGAAATGTAATGATGTTTATATTTGAACTTGCGTATTCAACATGTTTTTAACATTGTAAGGAACTTGAACTAGACGTCTTATTTTACTATGATGACCCAACTTTTATTGGTACCAAATAACAACGATTTTCATATTTTATTTACAAACAATATTAAAAAATTATTGCATTCTATTAAGCATTGAATAAATTAAGTATGGATTTGCGTTGTAGAAAGTATGTTGCATGTGTTAATATTTTTATGGAAAAAAATATGTTTAGGAACCGATAAAAGTAAGAACCGAACGATTTACTATTGGTTCGATTCCATAACGTACGGTTCCACCAATTTTATGTAAGAACCGAATCGATCTCATGCCTGTATATGAATAGTACAAAAAGTCCAACGTTGCCATTAAAAAAGAACAATATATAGTCGGTAGGTAGTACTGTGCATAGGTTTGTAAATGAATCAAATAATTTGTGCTCGATTCGCGATTTGAATTCGTTTAAGACGATTCGAATTTGGAAAATTGAAATACAAATACAAATAAGAATATTAAATTTGATTCGAATTGTTATCAAATACAAATAAGAATATCAGTGTATTCGATTCGAATATTAATCAAATATATTCGATTAATAATAATGGCAATATTAGTATCATCAATATTAATAATGATGGATGGTGTACCCAAGGGGTAGCTTATCCGAGGGGTTATTGCGGGAAATAACCTAGAGAGAAGTCAGAGCAAACAAGTAGGAGAGAGAGGCGATTATATTTATGAACTCGAGATGTTCTGGTCCTTTACAATGGGAAAATTGGGTGCTATTTATAGTAGTAATAAATGCGATGAGAGTATACGTGGCGATAATCTAACGGCCGAGGGGTCACCTCTCTCGGGTGGCACTGGCATTCGCATGTGCTCCGCATTGAATGCGGTGGGTGGATGTGACGTCACATTAAATGCGGTAGTTGCTTGTCTCTAAAGGGAATCTTCGATGATTGAGTTGTTGGCCGAAGGCTCCCCCTTCGGCCGAGGGCTTTGTGTAGCCGAAGGCATGGGAGTGCCGAAGGCTTCCCTGATGCCGAAGGCTCCTGTTTTGTGCCATTTTCTCCCAGTAGCTTTGCATGCTCGAATCTGGCTACCCTGTGTAATTCGGAGCCCTCGGCCAAGGAGGCCGAAGGCACCCCAGTGTGTATTTTGGGCTTCTTTGAGACTTGGGCCGCTGTATTTGGGCCTGGAATGCTCCTCGGGCTCAATGGGCCTGTGTAGAAGAAGTAGATGTCTATGGGCCGGGGGTCCCCGGGCCATATACTCCATCAAATAATAATAGTAATAACACTAATAACTTTTAAAAGATAGCAATACACTCAAAGTGTAGACCATGTATACCTTTTTACATACAGATTTCAAGCCCATTTGTACGAATATGAATACAAATCAATTTTGTGGTTCAAATATCGCCCAGCAATAACACCAATAAACCAAAACATAAATACGAATACAAATCAATTTTTTGTTGCAAATATCTTTCAATTACAGTACAAATAATTATGCATTCGATTTGAAGAATAAAATTAAAGTTGTTTGACTTTGATATATACAATTATCAACTTATTTTACACATTTTAAGTATGATTTCTAATGTGTGTGTTAGTGTTTATTTCAAAAAGTTTGAAATAGATTTATATTTATTAATCATAAAATTAATTCACTTTAGTATATTGTGCATCATCTAAAAATGCCTTGATCCATTAAATTTAAATTCTAAAAATAATATAAATCATAGCATGCATTTACAACATAAAAATATGGAGTATAAGAAAAGTTATTTTAAAGTGATATTTGACTAATATTTAACCTATACTCAAATCGATTCGATATTCGTATATGATTCGTTAACTATTCGTATGGTTAAACAAATACAAATCGAAATCAATATTCATTTCATATTTGAATTCGAATTCGTATTCGAAAAAATTAAACAAATACAAATACAAAAACAAATTAAACCCTAATGTCTGTGCATGTATATACTAGCTAGTACTTCCTCCGTTCTTAAATAAATGCAACGGTCAACATTTCATATTTGCCGTGAAACAACTTTGACCATTAATATAAATAATTTTGTATTAGTAAAAAAATTAAAAAAAATTACATTATGAAAATTTACAATGAGACAAGTTTAACAATATTTTTTTCATAAAATAATATTATTACATTAATAAATAAAACATAGTCAAAGTAAAACATGTAAATAGTGTAAAAGTAAAAGTATTTTATTTATTTAAGAATGAAGCTACTATATAATAGTCGATGCGTGAAGCACACACCCACACACGCAGAGATGCCGACTCACCCCGCACCCGCACAGATGCACAATTGCGCACACACGCTGAGACGCGCGATCAAGCAATATGGACATCCATAATTTCATACTCCGTATATAATAACGATCCGTCCAGATCAACCAAAATAATAATTACTAGTAATTAAAAGCAAAATGGCAAGCGCCAGATACGTCGTGTTGTCCTTGTTCCTTATCTTGCTGTCGGGTGGGGTCCGAGGACGGCCACATCTCCGCCGCGCGTTGCGTCATCAAACCCAATCATTGGCTCCGCGACCGTCGCCGGACGATTCCGCCGCCTTTGCGCGGTGGCTGGTGTCCCAAAGCTCGTGGGGCGTGCTGAACACGCTCGCCGGAGACTTGGGCGGAGCACCCTTCGGCAACGTGGTGTCGTTCAGTGATGGCCGCGGCGTTCCGTACTTCTATTTGACCAGCCTTGACCCGACCGCGAAGAATGGTCTGAGTGATGGAAGGGCGTCCTTCACGTTAAGCGAATATGCTCTCGGAACATGCGGCGATAAAGATCCTGAGAATCCTACCTGCGCCAAAATCACTCTCACCGGAAAGGTTGTCCTCTCATCTTATCTAATTTGCATGATTAAATTTTCTTCAAATCAGCGAAATTAATTGAATGTGTTGAACTTGCTTAAATATGTGCTGGATCCATTAAATTGACTAAATACTATCATATTGAATTACGAAAGAACAATATATATTAGAAGTAGTCGTATGAAAAGTTAAAAAAAAAGCATATGAAAAGTTACGTAAGTGATTTTTTACAGTAACATTTAAGCTAATTCAATGTAAAATATTGGCTCATAAAATTGATATATTAGCTGAAAATAGTTATTCCCCCTTTTATGCACCATGGGGGAGAATGTGACCGGATTTTTTTACTAATTTTTGTAAGGTGTTAGAGACTGTATAACTAATTTTTATCCATTGATCCAACTTTTTGAAGAACATGTTTTCCGTACAATTCCGTACAAGTGGGCCGTACGGATTTTTCTTTTCCTTTTCGGCCGAGCCTCCTAGTTGGGTTAGTGGTATGTTTTACTCTCTATAAATACAAGCTCTCTCACATTGTAATTGTGTGGATCCGAAAATAGCAATAATATTCCTTGCATGGTAGCACCCCAGACGTAGTTATTCGTGGCGAACTGGGTTACCAAATTTCGCGTGTTCTTCATTATTCTTTTTCGTGTGCGTGAATTAAATTCTTAACCATTAATATATTTGTGTCTATATTTTGCATTTGGTGTTTTCATTTTAGTTGTTTAAATCTGGCATGAGCTTGTTTTATATGGCCTCTTTGGTCTATTTGAGTTTGACCTAGTCTCATCGATTTAAATTTGGTCTGATCAGATAAATGTCTAATCTATATGTAGTGGCGAGGAAGATCCACAAGATAGACTTATTGTGGGTATAAATCAATTCAAAGTCCAGGCTATTTTTATTATTAAGAGGATCAAGAATCTTGCAAAAAAAATTTAAGAGGATCAAGATTTGAGATATGTATCAGTGGTCAAAGTTTTATACTACGTATATGAACTACTTTTATGTGTTCATATATAAAACTGCACAAATTATTCCACGAGAAACTCTAATGATTACAGAATGAGGAGAAACTTTTTAGACATCCAAAATGGAAAATAAGAAAGAAATTATGAGGTATAAGGAGTAAATAATTAAAGACGGTCTGAACCCATCATCATTTTAAATGAATGTTAACATTTGGCATGTCCATTTTAAAATATTTTTTAAAAGTAAAAGATCATTTTCGATATGCTAATGAAGTATCATTTGTAAAAAGTTAAAATTAATTAGTCCCAACAATTTGTAGGTAAAAGTGAAGTTTGAACCGTGATCCCCTTATACGTTAGGTAGATTCTATGATATCCAAAAAGTACCATGCCTTTGTCTACTTTGACCAATCAGAATATTGCAGTTGAATTATTTAATCTAAATTAAAAATGATATAATGATTTGGACCAATTATGTGAGTGGTAGGTACGATACCCTTTTTTTAAATGAGTACCGGAGTTGTCGGGCCATGCGTTATCCAACTCATGCTAGAATCATTAGTTTGACCAATTGCGGAGAAATCATATCCTAAGATAGCTAATCGATCAATACAACAATTCAATACATACGGAGTATCAATTATACGGAGTACTTAATTATACTTGACTATTCGATCATGACCCCATTGACTTCATTGGGAAAACAATCATGTACTTTTTATTGTGAAATTGAAGATATGTAGTCGTATTACTTTTGATGTAATTTTCATATTGTATGATTGATGTAAAAGTTAAATACACCAAGACAAAATTGTAGGTAAACTACATCAAAATAAGTATTTAATAGCCAAAATATAAATTGAATATGATAAAAGTTTGATGTATAAAATTAGCTAGATATTAAAAGTGGGTTTAGTTCATCATAATAGGGGGTTTAATGCACCAAACCGCCTTGTGAAATATAAATTCGACGCATTAACCCTCTAAGATTTAAAAAATGCGTCAAACCCCCTTGTGTTATAATTAATTATGCGCAAAATCCCCTCCAAGAACAAATTTAATTTCCAACAAAATGAAAAATGATGAGTTTTTTGTGCAATTCATAAACTTTGGCAAACTTACTTGCATATTCAACCATATTATTAAGAAAAATAATTTATAAATTATAAAATTTGTTCTTGAAGAGGAGTTTTGCGCAAGATTAATTATAACACATGAGAATTTGACGCATTTTTTAAATCACAGGAGCTAATGCGTCAAATTTATATTTCACGTGGGACTATCATGTAATTCATGTTGGGACAGAGGTAACACTAATTTTCTCTATTCAATTGTTAGGAGTACCAAAATTCACACTCCGCTTAATATGTTGCCATTTATGCACTGTCGTTCTTAGCAAAGCTATAATTTTTTGCTCTCTGATCCATTACAAAGTACGTAAACTTATGATCAAGAAATTGTTCTAACAGTTTGGGTATTTATAATATAAAAATATGCATCTCGTTAGGGTAAACATGGTGAAATACCGAAGTCAATAGAAGCGGAATGTTATTAATATATACTCGGGTCTCGGGGTATTTAATTATTTGGGTTTGAATATTTTGACGAGTACTCATATTGTTTGAATTTTTATACTACAAATTTAGGACTTGTATAAATGTAGAAAGATTTGTTTTTTTGAAAGGATGTAGAACGATATGTTCATTATTGCGTTTGTTTAATTATTAGTTCAAGGGGGTTGACAAAAATTCCGAGGAAGCCAAATTTGCTGAAGATGCTCTGTTCACCAAGCACCCCGAAATGAAAGGTAATTGGATTTTATTTATTTAGTTTTAATTTATAAGAATGACACATAAAAGTTAATTGAGATCATAAAAGTTCACACATGATTTGATATTACTATTATTTTTATTAATCATTAATAAAAGTATTATTATTGCTAGTAATTCTACCGTAACTGCACTATTTTTATTTATTGTTTATATATTTTTATCGTTAATATAGAAAAAAACGTAGGTTGTTATTATGATTATCAATCCTGTTGTTGTTGTTGTCGTCGTCGTCGTCGTCGTCGTCGTCGTCGTCGTCGTCGTCGTCGTCGTCGTCGTCGTCGTCGTCGTCGTCGTCGTCGTCGTCGTCGTCGTCGTCGTCGTCGTCGTCGTCGTCGTCGTCGCATCACCATCACCATCACCATCACCATCACCATCACCATCACCATCACCATCACCATCACCATCACCATCACCATCACCATCACCATCACCATCACCATCACCATCACCATCACCATCACCATCACCATCACCATCACCATCACCATCACCATCACCATCACCATCACCATCATTTTATTATTAGTATGACACTAATGTATGTTGTTTCTTTTTTTATTATCAATATACTAATATTATTACATCATAATTAATTATAATACGCAGTAATAATAACCACTACAACTCTACAATTATTAATGTTACACTTATGGGCGTTGTTATTACAATAATGATAATTGTTATTATTATTATTGAGAGTATTAAATTAGTAGTAGTGTAAATCCTTATTGATACTATTCGATAAGTGGTTGCTATGATATCTTAATATGCGAAAAACAAAATAACAACATTAATAGTAATATCTGTATGCATTGATGCTACCCTACAGACAGTACGATAATGAGTGTGAATTTTCTTGTTTCACTATTGAAGAAAAAGTGGCAAAATGTTAGGTGCATGTATCCAGGGCCGTTTTTTTAGGGGTTCAATAGTTTATCCAGAACAGGGCCCCCAAATTTATGGGGCCCCAAAATTCTAAATTTCTTTTAGTATTATATAGTACGGAGTAATATTATATATTAAAATTGATCTCTAAAATACAATTAATAAGGAAGAAAAATATAAATGCATGATTTTTTCGTTGTTCCTTTGCTCTTTTAGTTCTTTTTAAATAGTATTCAATTGATTTGAGTATAAATATTTGGATTGAGATTTTTTTATAAACAAATATATATTAATTTGGGGCCTCAGTTTTACATTTAGAATTGGGGCCTCCAAATTCATTAGACGGCCCTGCTTGTATCTCAAAACCACCATGGGAAAGCCCGTTCGAGTCTTTTGAGGGCGTTTGGATTTAGAGCTGATAATTTTATTTCCTTGTGCCTGTGAGGCTGTGATAGTATTTACCAAATGTATGTGAATTTTATTTGTTACGTACATAAATTATTATACTCTTAATTAATTCGATCTGTTCCATTATCTGATTGATTCGTTATATGTTGTGGATGGGTAGGGTGGCCTAAGGACCATAATTTCGAGTTTTACACACTGGAAATTGAAGACATATTTCTCATCAATTACTTCGGTGGGCCTAAACCTCTTACCGTGGATCAGTACCTGAAATGGAGAAGCCCCATTTGAAGCCAATTAACAAACCGGTTTCGTTGGTCCGTTATTGGGGTGATTTACCAAAACACGGGAAAGATGGGGTTGGGTTGCCAATATACGGGGAGTTTCCCAAGTTTTGGTATTTATTTATGTGTTTTTGGACCTCTATTTCTTTAGGTTCTGATGTTTTCCAAGAAATATAATTTTGTTAGCTGTTTTTTTGTCATTAATATTGTTTTTCTGTTGTCTATGAAATGGAAGAAAGTTTTGAGTTTATCTGCACGGCATGCAAATGTATGGCAGCCTGGATAAGAAAAGAAAACATGTTTCCCGTCTCCACAGCCAAACTGCCAAAGAATCATTTTACATCTCTGTTTTAGATGTTATCATTTCATTAAATTATTAAAAAAGAGGGGGGGGAGTTGTTTCCTAGGTTTTACCTAAAAACGAAAGTCGGATCACCCAATTCCGACTAGGAGTTAGGGTTTTCTAAAAAAACTCCCCACCCTTGTCAGATCACCCAATTCCGAGTATAACATATTTTTTAAAATGAAAACATTTTCTATTTTTAGTACAAAACATTTGATTGCTTTATATTGTTTTTTAATCTATTTGTATTGTGAATTTTGTTTTAATTGCAATTTTTGTAATTTTGAGTGTAATTTTGATTTAATTCATTCGTCAAATTAGGTACAACTGCGATGGTGTTTGAAGTGCAATTTTTTTAATTTTAATGGAAGTGAACAAAACGAATGTAGTTTTCAATGTAATTTATTAATGAATAGAGAGTACATATAATATTATATTTAATACTACATCTAACGTTGTGCGCTCGGCCCTGCTCCGTCCCCACCGCCAGTGTTCCAAGGCCCCGTTGGGTCTCCATAGTAAAATGACGAACTCAGAAATGACTCGACATAATCATCTGGTTGTGTAGAGAACTGATAAGAATCATAATACGGCGGTAGTTGATCAAATGTGACACCTTGATGCGTTGAGAATTGAGGGGGTGGTTGATCAAATGAGACACCCTGTGTTGAGAATTGAGGGGGTGGTTGATCAAATGAGACACCCTGTGTTGAGAATTGAGGGGGTGGTTGATCAAATGAGACACCATGTGTTGAGAATTAAGGGGGCGATGGTGAGTCCTCACCCCCACCTTCATGTTCATTTGCATCATCCTCTTCGTCACTTCCACCTTCATCTTCATCTTCATAATGGAATATGCCCCGGTGGAGCATCTCTTCATCACCTACGTCCAGGGCCATTTGCCGTAGTCGTTTTTGACAATCCTCATAACTCGCGCGATCGGCTAAGAGCTTATACACCTCGTGAACGCCTTGCTTCTACATAAAATTTTGCAACATGTAAACAATATGACACGATATATGTTAATGAATATGGTATGTATTTAAAAACTTACCACAATACCCCAATCGTGTGCTGTCGGGGTGTAGCCTGTCATGGGCACATTGTGAGAAGGGTTCTGGACACGTGTCATACCATACTTCTTGTACCATTTTCGGTACCTATTAGTTGCTTCGAGGAACATATGTTGAGCGTAATCAAGAAAGTATATGTGATGTTGTATGTTCGCCCACATCGCCAAGGCACCGGTTACTATGTTGGAACGATTTCCGTGATTATCATTACCTGTCAAAGGAGCATTCGGAATATCTTGCCTTATATGGAACTGCCGAAGAAATCGATCGGGGTAATGCATTTCGGCCATATTGCAAAATATGAGCATGACCCTAGCCGACCAAAGCGGAGTTTCATTAAGGACGAGAGGTGGGAGTGTCTCGGACGCGTAGGGAATGAAATCAAACTGTAAAAAGTTTAATTTAAAATTTCAGAACTATAAAACAATGTGTATTGAAAATTGAATAGTACGGTTGAAGTAAAAATTTCAAGTATTACCTGATTCTCACTCATGCGGTCTAGGTCATCCCGGTACAAGCGTATGCAATGTCTTGGGGATCCCTTATATGACTTGGGGACACACCACCTACATATGTTAATTAGCGATATGAAGTTAAAAAATGTAACGTCATATAAAGCATTCTCAATTATTAAGATGTAATTGGCAACATACCTGCACCCATATGGAAGATGGTCATGTTGAATTACCTGAAGTACTGAGGGACGGAACATCGAAATCCTCGACCAAGCCCAAATCTGTAACAAGTGCATACAGCCGCCAACTTGTTTGGTTTCCCACTTGGTGCCGTTGCACAAGTTATGGTAGAGGTACCCGAGAACCGCCGATCCCCAACTCCATCGACGGGCTAAAGCCAAGTCACCCTGCAAGACTTCCAAAAAGTACAATCGTATTCTTGTCCCACTCGTGTCAGGGAACAAAAACCCTCCAAGCAATTGCCATATTAGGGTCCTGCTGTGTTCGGTGACCTCTTCGTCTGTACTGTCAGGTACAATCGGGTGACGGGTAACAGCACTCAAGGTGATATCACTCGTGCGCATATCAGTCTCTAAAGGAGTGAAACCACATGACTGCGTGCACAGGTTGATCCACTGAGCCTTACCCTTAATGGTAGGACCACTAAGGGGCATACCTCGAATGGGCAAACCAAGGATCATCGCCACATCTTGTAGGCTAATGCCAACCTCACCGAATGGAAGATGGAAAGTATGTGTCTCCGGCCTCCATCTCTCCACCAAAGCGCATATTTAACTATGATCCACCTTCATACGGGCAATGTGCTCTACCCCCAAGAACCCAGCATAAGCTAACATATTTGTTACTCTTTCATCTCTCTCCTCATCTCCAAATGCAGCTGAAGGGCAATTCACGCATTTTAAGCACAAGTCTTTGGAATCTGGTTCATACCACACACGGTCAGCACGATGGGCACGCAGTGGCAACGTGAGTAGGGAACAGTTAACAGGCCCTGGGTTCGAAGTGTTTTGGTCCATTTGAAATTCCTGAAATAAGTAGTTATAAATTACTAATTTCGAAATTGAACTCCAATTACTAAATTACTAATTTTTTGGTAAAAGAGTAAAAGTCCAATTATTAAAGTAATTTTTTTTAGTAAAAGTCCAATTTGACATTAAAGGAAATATTTCATAATTATGATGAGAGGTTCTAACAGTTATTAATTACGTATAAAGACAACTTAAAAAATTAACTACTTCTACACTTCTAAATCCAAAATTTAAGACAAATCCTAAATGTAACACACTTTCTAAGTTTCAAGCATTTTATAGCTAAATTTTACTCTAAAAATTTAATTTTCGATAAATTACAATGTAATCTTAAATCACCAAAATTAAACTCAATTCACTTAATTACTAGTTCAAACTAATTGCTATATTATTTATACTAAATTTCAAAAATGTAATTAATATACCCTATTCACTATATAATACTAATCCATCTAAATTTGATTATCTAATTTGATTATCTAAAGTAATCTAAAATAACTTTTGTGTATAACATTAATTTAACTATAAAATATCATCTATTTTAACTAATTAAACTTTTAACTATTAAAATATGTAACACACTTGACTAAAGTTTAACTCAATTCGCGATATAATACTAAACCAACTATGTATAACACTAAAGGTTAACTCAATTTAATTTGCTATATTCCATACCATCTAGAATGTAAATAATTTGTTGTAATCCATATGTGAATTCATTTAAAATAATCTAATACTACGTTTAACTTATTATTACCCTTGTAATTTTCGAAAATAATTTTTTTTTGTCTAAAATCACCAAAGTTTATAATTACTATACCCTTTTCCATATACTACGTATAATACAAATTCATCTAACTTATTTGTGTAATGGTAATTTTTGTAAGCTAAATTTTAATCTAAAAGTCCAATTTCACAATTTAAATTAAAAATTTACAAATTACTAAATTAACTACTTCTACACCCCTAAAACTGAAATTTAAGGCAAATCCTAAATGTAAAACACTTTCTAAGTTTCAAACATTTTATAGCTAAATTATACTCTAAAAGTCCAATTTCACAATCTCAATTAAATATTTACAAATTACTAAATTAACTACTTCTACACCCCTAAAACTTAAACATTAAGGCAAATCCTAAGTTTCAAGTATTTTATAGCTAAATTTTACTCTAAAAGTCCAATTTGACAATATAAATTAAAAATTCACAACTTAAAAAATTAACTACTTCTACAATTCTAAATCCAAAATTTAAGGCAAATCCTAGATGTAACACACTTTCTAAGTTTCAAGTATTTTATAACTAAATTTTACTCTAAAAGTCCAATTTGACAATATAAATTAAAAATTCACAAATTAAAAATTAACTACTTCTACACTTCTAAATCCGAAATTTTAAGGCAAATCCTAAATGTAACACACTTTCTAAGTTTCAAGTATTTTATAACTAAATTTTACTCTAAAAGTCCAATTTGACTATACAAATTAAAAATTCACAAATTAAAAATTTAATTACTTGTACACTTCTCAAACCGAAATTTAACTAACCTCAAAATTTGTGTGATCCCAAAGGGTAGATAACTTGATTTGGTTGTGAGTATGGTTGCTTCGGAATGAAAAAATTGAGATTGATTGAGGGCAGCTAACTTGTGAGGACGGTTGTATGGGAATGAAAATCTGAGAGCGATGGACTAATGATGAACTAATGAGTAATCGAATGAAGATTACAGGAGTATTTATCAAGTCCCGACAGGAGTATTTACCCAGTCGGATTGCATAGTTCCGACTAGAGAGAGCCTAGATTGTGATCCCAAAGCTTCTTCAAACCGTTAGATTGTGATCCGCGTGAATGAATGTGTTTGTTTATGGATGAATGTGTTTGTTTGCCGACAGATAGTTAGGTAGGAGTATTGAAGTTATTAATTGAAGTTATGAAAAAATTTTATCTGCTTGATTTTATGTGATTAAATTTATCTGATAAAATTTTATCTGCTTGATTTTATCTGATTAATTTTATCTGATAAAATTTTCTCAGCTTGATTTTAACTGATTAATTTTATCTCATAAAATTATATCTGTTTGATTTTATCTGATTAATTTTATCTGATAAAATTTTATCAGCTTGATTTTATCTGATTGATTTTATCTTATAAAATTTTATCTGCTTGATTTTATCTAATAAAATTTTATCTGCTTGATTTTATCTAATTGATTTTATCTGATTAATTTTATCTGAATTTATACGGCGTCGTACAAAATTAAATTTATCTGATAGAATTTATGTGAACCAAAATGTCAGATACAATGAAACAGATTCGAAAAAGAGAACAAATATTTCATTACTAATTGGATGCAAAACAAAAAATCCAGAAACGTACACATTACAATATTACTCATTTCCTCTACCCGTAGCACGCAAATCCATTTCGTTAGTAAATCGAGTTCTCTGTGGCCTACCGACTCGAGCCGATCTGTTGTTTGTGGGTGGGAGAAGTGTATGTTGTGTTTCTGCTGGAATGTACGCATTATTAATAGGCATAATATCAGAAGCGTACGTCCGGATGTACGCATTTAACGAATACACATCTGGGATTAGGCCGTCTACGGTTATTTTTAAAAACCGACAAACCGCATATGCGTGAACACATGGCAGTCCATTCTGCTTCCAATACTCGCACCCACATTCCTGCCTTGTCAGATCGATTGTCACTGGATCATGCGAACTAATAGCTACAGAGTAAATCCCCGCTGTTCGATTGTGCGGGACAATTGTTGTGTGATACCTACGCTGTGATCGCTCAAGAACAGCCTTCCATATGTTCTTTGGATACAAGAATCCAGCTTGGTGCCACATTATTCCCGCATTTCGTCGATCGGCAAATAGTTGAACCACTTTATCAAATGTGGCCTTTACTAGTGCGCAGATAGGCAATGTGCGACATCCCTTTAAGACATTGTTAAAGCTTTCTGAAAGGTCTGTCGTCAAAATGCCATATCTTTTCCCATCGTCATAGCTCAGGGCCCACATCTCAACAGGAATCTCATTCAAATACAAAAAGGCACTCTCATTTATGCCTCGTATTTGTTCCATACAGTCATGAAATTCTTGTTCTGTGGGAGTGCTACCAGCTTGCCAACATAATTTCTTCAGTTCCGCGTTTCTAAACTTGGTCATGAAATTACTCCGTATGTGATGGAGACAATAACGCTTTGAAACTTGTGGCGATCTCAACTCTGGCAAGGATCTAAATGCACTTTCAATTCCTGCATGACGATCGGAGATAACGCACACACTACGATGACTTCCAACCACATCACGCATAACCCTTGCAAAGAACCACGACCAACTGTCAGCATTCTCACTCTCAACAATAGCATATGCAAGAGGAAATATCTCACGGTTAGCGTTCATGGCTACCGCTACTAGAAGAACCCCCTTGTATTTGCCATATAAGTGAGTCCCATCAACCGAGACTACGGGTAAGCAAAATCTGAAACCGTCTATAGAAGCTTTGAATGACCAGAACACTCGACGGAATTCAGACGTATCAGGACTGGCGGTGGGGACGGATTGCAAATGAACAACCGTCCCCGGATTTGAAAACTGTATAGCTTCCAACAACATAGGAAGTTCATTATACGAGGCCTCCCAATTGCCGAATTTACGCTCCAGAGCGATCAAGCGTCCATTCCAAGCTTTTTTATATGAAACACGGATATCAAAATTTTCATATATGTCTGACATTATCAGTTTAATGCTGTAGTCCGGGTCGACTTTCACTTTTGGAGCGATTTCACTCGCTATGATCCTGGCCGTTAGGATCCTATCATCCCGAGCCGTGACAGGATCCTCCCTGCAACTGTGATGGGGTTGATATTTTTTTACTTTCCACTTTGTTGAAGTCATACCTTCTGCTGCTTGGATATGCCAAGTGCAAAGGGTCGGGTATATGCAAACCGCCTTCCAGGACCGTACCCTTTTGTCAACCGATTGGAATTGACGAAATTGACGAATGTTTTCTCTCGCCGCCGCTTCTTTCAGTGCATCATATGAAGGGAAAATTGCGCCGACTTCGAGTCTTTCAGGCTCATAATCTAGCTCATATGGTTCTTCTAGCTCTAGATTGGCCCAGGTGGGGTCTACTGTCTCGTCATTGTTATCCCTCGTGGCTGAATCGACATCACTACAAAAACCTTATTCGTAGTCTGGTTCGTCCGACTCTTCCCCTGAGTCTGGATGATTTCATATGACGTAATGGGTTAGATTTTGTTTAAACGCGTTATATTATAAAATGTGAGTTTATCTAATTGAATGAGTTAAAAAATACTAAAATAAATACTTCTAAACAAAATATATTTTTTCTATAAAAATGTAATTTATATAAAATGTAATTTGTATAAAAGTTTTTATAAAAAATGTAATTTATAAAATTTAATATATATAGTTTTCAAAACAAAACAAAAGATTTCTAAAAAACACCCCCTAGTCGGAATTGGGCTATCCGACAGGGGTTTTTTATTTTTTTCCCTGTTTCAATTCGACAGCACTTAAAATAGGCATGTAAAAAATTATATAAAAAAACCCTGGTCGGATTTGTGAATTCCGACAGCATTACATTTCATTTTTTATTTACATTAAAATCTAAATATGTCTTGGTGCCATGTAATGCGGTACGGTTTGCACAGCATAATACTCCATATTATTATTTACATTAAAGGCATTGATGAATTTGTACATATGATTTGGATAGATGCCGTAGATGCGAAATGCTAGATGCGGTACATGCGAAAAAAACAAAGGAAATATAATCACATGTATAGCCAAATTTAACTTTAAAATTCCAATTTAACAATCTAAATTAAAACATTTACAAATTGCTAAATGAACTACGTCTACACTCCTAAAACCAAACTTTAAGGCAAATTCTAAATTTAACACTCTTTCTAACTTTCAAGGCGTTTATAGCTAAATTTAACTCTAAAGTTCAAATTTAACAAATAAATTAAAAAATTTACAAATTACTAAATCTACTACTTCTACACTCCTAAAAAACTAATTAAGTCAAATTATAAGTTAAAGATATATATAGCCTTTTTAATTTAGTGATACTATCTCCGTCTAAATCAATATCGTAAATATATAAATAATAAGTACGGAGTAATATATAAATCACATTTAATTAATTAGATGCGCGTAATATTATTATAAAGATATTAAATTATAAAATAATTAAGTAGATCAATTATAGGCAAATTTAACTCTAAAATTTCAATTTAACAATCTAAAGTAAAACATTTACAAATTACTAAATTAACTACTTCTACACTCTTAAAATGACAACAAATAAAATGAAATCATTGTAAATTCTACTTAACTTGAACTATACATACCGGGAGTTTCGTAGTTCTGAAACGTTTCGCGGTTGTTTCTCCGACTTGATGATGGGCCTTCCACTCCGGGAGTTCTGTGGAACGTCAAATTTTGTGGCGGGGTCACTGAAGCTTCCACGTAAATGTGCAACTCCTCATACTCATTTGTAGCGATCCGGAAAAAATGACGCCATGTCCGCTCATCATGAATGAGCCATAATCTAGAAGCAACATATACCGAATTCTTATATCTCGGAAATTTTCCGTGAATTAATTTAATTTCGGAAAATCCGTCGCCTCTAACATGATTTAGAACATTCTCATGTATAGTAGTATAATCATCTTCTTCACTGATGAATAGTACAACCCTAGGAGGTATGGAGTACTCTATTTCATCATCTTTTTGAGATGTAGAGCCATTCCAATGAACCATCTTTACACAAAATCATAAGACTGAATGGGAGTAAGGTTATTTTTTGTAAAAAAAATTTGTTGGTGGTATATTGAAGCTTAATAGACATGTACATCGTGCTCAAGTAATTGTAACATGATATCGCTTCCTATTTTGCCGTTAATAAACGGCATCTACCATCCCGTTAGTAAGCCTGATCAGCCCCAACCGTCCACCACTTCTTTCTTTTTGTTCCGCATGTCCACACCATTTCACCGGGTTAGTTGGGTTGTTGGGTTAGGCTTGAGGACCCAGTTCATCCGCTGAGGATCACCAACAATGTTTGTTCAGCAACCGGCTCTGCAAGCGACAACTCAAACACCACCACCATGCCAAGTCCGTCAATCCGCCACCGCGTCAAGCCGCCTGCCTCCAGACTCGAGACCTTGTGTCCTCACTCCTCAGTCATCTGAATCGCTCTATGCTCTCAAGAGTCGCAGCGCTTGCCGAGTCTCTCAAGTGATGAGTTGCTGCTGAAGTGCTACACGCAGTGCGAGAGTGAACGATTGAACCAACCAGGTAAGGTTTTCTCTAATTTCTTTTTAAATTATTAATTATTAATCTTATTAATTTCTTATATCTTGTTATTTGTTAATCTTTATGGTTTTTATGTGATTGAGTTTGACTATTTTAGCTATTTATTAGGTTTGAATAATTCATAATAAAAAACTACGTAGTAATAAATTAGGTTGTTATTTATTTAATTATGTAATTAAACTAATTATATTTACAAATTGGCATCGATATCAATGGAATCTGAAACACTCAAAGAATGTTTGGTAGATGAGTTTTGCATCTAAATATGCTCTAAGAATGTCTCTGTTTAAATGAATTGTATCTTACTAATTAATGAATACTTTTACTTTTACTCTTTTGTTCATTAGTGACCT